GTCTTTAGTGGTATTTTAATAAGTATTTCTACTACTTCTCTTTGGAGTGGGCCAAATTAGAGCCTGCCTTGCCCCCATTCATTAATCCTGTAAATGTTTATTCCTGTTCTTTTAAAGCTCTTTACGGCTTTAAAAAGACTGCTCTTAAAATAGAATTTCATCAATTATAATCATTATCATGATCATCAAACTAAGTGTGCAAGAGCCTGAGTGTGTATTTATGTCAGTGTCATACCCTGTCGTAGCACAGGAGGGTGCAGAAGTTGGGCGTCTTCTGTTGATGGACCAGCTCGACAAAGTGGGCACAGTACACAGCGTCGATGGAGGAGAAGATGCAGCGAGGAAACAGACAGAGCTGCAGGAACTTTGTTATGGTCTCGTTCTTTGTAGATTCTATCAGGGAGTATTTAAAGTTGTATTAGTAACAGAGACAACTGAGCATTAGATTACCTCCAGTACAGATGCAGCAATTATGATCCTTGTCTGAATGTCACCTTTAACTACTGCCTAGACTAAGCCTACAAGGAGTTAAAACTGAATATCTCTTTGCTTGGAGATTACATACAGCCATGAACATTGAGTATCTACTTATGAAATATTAATTCTACTTGAGTAGAGGCTTTGTGTTCATTTGGGAGGAACCCAACTTATGTTTTTTGCCTTTGGAGATCAGTCACACTTAAAATGGATTCACTATTTTCTTCTCTCATCAGAGAAATCACTGGCACGAACATTAGGATACTTACTGGCCAATAACCAGTTGTCCTTCTCCAGTTTGAGGCGGTGTAGAACCCTCTGGACATGCTCCACCTGCTTCTTCTCCTCTTCCTGCAGTTTTTCCTGCAGAGCAGTACAACGTTCCTTCTCCTTCTTTTTCTTATTCAAGGGCTAGAGTGGAAACAAGCCACAGAAACATTCACACCATAAATACAACATTGACAGTGACCGGAGTGTTGCACTCCTCTGGGAATCTCTGGCAAACTCACAATTCAACCCTGATTCTTTGTGTTACGATTCAAATTATAAAGACAATGAACAAAAATGATTCAATTCAATAATAAAAAAAAAAAAAAAGAAAAAAAAAAGAAGGGCTGTTAGTCTAGTTTACTGTGTATCAGACAGTTAAGCTAACTGGTTCTGATGAGCATCAAAACAATGATGCTCTGAGTTTCTTTCCCCTCCTGCTCTCCTCTCCTCTCTCTCCCCCTATGCTTCTATATGCCACCATTACACATTACTAACTTTGTGTCTCCTCTCTCTCTCCCTGTTCCTTTCTGCAGGTTGCCCTGGAGCTCTACGTAGCAGTCACCGGCCACATCGACCTGATCAGTGTTTGATTGTTGTGTCTTGTTGCTTTTCTTCTTTTGTCTCTCCTCTATCCACTCACCCCAACCGGTCGAGGCAGAAGGCCGCCCACCAAGAGCCGGGGTCTGTCGGAGGTTTCTTCCGTTAAAGGGAGTTTTTCCTCCCCACTGTCGCCAAGTGCTTGCTCAAGGGGGATTTGTTGGGTTTTCCCTATGTAATAATATTGATAACAGTAAGGTCTAGACCTTACTTTGTAAAGTGTCCTGAGATGACTTTTGTTGTGATTTGGTGCTATACAAATAAAAATTGATTTGATTTAAAAGGGTTATCAAAACTAGCTCACAAGTGTGTAGAAAGCGGCGTTTTCTTTGTCTCACCAGTTTGACTGACGTGGTGCAGTGTGTGTCGTTTGTTACTGTGTTCCGCTACGCTAAGGTCAGTCAGTTGGTAATGGGCTCTGACCTATTCACATAGTCCTTCATACTTGTCTTTCAAAGCTTATTACTGTCATCAACACATGCTGAAATGATTCCCTTTTCTGAAGATGGATCAACATTACAACTATAGTTGTGATAGTTGTACAACTCGTCTGTGTGTGCTCACCGCTATTTGTTTGCTACAGTGGCTTTGCAGTTGAGCTTCGCCTTTTTTGTTCCATCAACATTATTTATAAAAAACAAAAAATAATTGTGAAACATTTTAGAATCGTTGATATGAATTGCAATTCTAATATGAATCAACTTTTTTCCTCTCACCCCTACTGTTTTTGTCATCTGAGTGTATACTGCTGCAACACAAATGCTTCGTAAACAGTTACAAGTGGAATGTAAGTGAACCTGTAGACAAACTACTCACTATTTCTGGGTTGTCCTCGATGGCTTTGATCTGGACCTTTAGCTTGTTGACCTCACGCTCATAAGCAGCCTGAGGCACTGCAAGGTCGTACATAGTGAGGGACCAGAAGGTGGCATAGAATTGAGGGCGAAGGTCATCCCAGACCCTGGCAGGATGGAGGGACACCACAGCCTCATGCACCGGCGTCATCACATATTCACAGGCTGCCACATACTTGTGTACCTTCTGTTGCTGCCGGTTACCCTTCTCTGCTTTCTTCAGCTCATCATACTTAGACTGAGTGGAGAGCAAAGTAAAGACTCAGTTGTCTCTCATTTTATTAGTTCTAAACCACAGCTTGTCTTTATCTGAAATAGTGATAAGATAGTGATAACATTATCTACAGTTGGCACAAAAAGTAAGATGACAGAAATGACAAAATGCTTTTAAAGAAACACATTCAATTTGTTCCAACAATAGGCAAGGCAGCTATATTAATATAACACATTTCAGACACAGAGGCAACTCAAAGTTGGGGGAAGCAGCATTAAAACAAGGCTCCAGACTGCTAGTGATCAACTGCATTATGCAGCCAAATTTATTTAAGATGCAACTGCAAAATAAACAGCATGTGCACAAACAACTGTTCTCACTGTAGAACTAGTGGACAGATAAAATTTTCGTAATGTTGTCATAGCATGTTATCTGCATGTCTGTCACTCGCTCTGTCTCACAAAGCAGAGACTTCAATCTATCAAATGTGTAAATCCACATCGACTCCGAGACGCATGTGTCATCGCTGGAGCCCTTCTTTACCCTCGATGTCCATTTTCTCCTTTGGCGCATTTGAAGTGTAATCGCCACAGACAGGTGCTTAAATCAGGTAGATCACCTATTAGCCTATTTATGTATTGGAAACTTTAGACTTGAATCTGTGATGGATAAGGCTCCTGGTGTCACTGTGAGCTTTCTGGTTTTTAGCCCCCCCTCATCCTTTGTTGCAAGATGGGGAAATAATGGACTTACACAAACAATCCATACACAAACGCTACTGATCCTACATGAAAACTATTTTTGTCCAATACATTTCTGCTATCAGTCAGCCTGGTGAAGACTGTGCTGTCATCCTGCTGGCAGACAGCTGTTCAGACGAGAGATGCTGTTGGAAGGTCGGAGTCGGTGTGGATTGAGCAGATCAAACATTTAGGTTGTGCATATGCGCTGCTTACATCTGGTTAAGTCCCAGTTTGAAGTTAGTAGTGGCTGAAACCTACCATCATGTCCTTTAAGTGGTAGGCCACTAGTAACCTTAGCCCAAAAATGAGCTGGCACTTAAACAAGTGAGAGAGCTGAACTGTGTCCAACACAGACATCGCCAAAAAAGCAGAAATTTTGCTTCAGAAGAACAACAGGCTACAAATAAATCACGTACACAAACAGCAAAGCATGCACACAATTCATCAGGTTATACTTCAATTGAAATATAACAGCCTAATCATCCTCATCAGTTTCAGCACTACCATCACGTTGGCTGATAAGCTGCACTACAGTGACTACATTAAATAAGGTGGAAACTTGTTCCAGAAGTGGTTTTCACAATTATTATGCTCTACAAGTCTCCCACTTTCTGAATTTCATTATAAATACAGCCTATGCACATTGAATGGTAAGGCTGTTTAAAATAACTTGTAAAAAACAGATTCTTTTGCGTTATGTCGTTAAACAGAGTTGGTTCCACCAGTATGAAATGTTAGCCTGGAGCCCTGGAAAACAATAAGCATTACAACATAAACATAAAACATTGTTAAAGTGTCTCAAGGCAGTTGAAAGGCAGATTGAAAAAATATGCTGCACCCAGCTCCATTTTAAGAAGACTCAAAAGCTAAAGTCAATTATATGAGCTTGAATTTTCAAAATGAGGAGGAAGAAGAAAACAATGATAAGCAGCAGAATCTCTCTCAAAAAAAAGAAACAAGAAGTTCACTCACCAAAATCTGATGGGCATACATAGGGCGAGACAAGAAGAAAGCAGCATCATGTGGAGTGTGGAACTGGTTACAAAGCACGTCAATAGAGGGAACCCGCTTGATGTAGTCCTCTGTGCTGAGGTTGGAAGCCAGAAAGCCACCAAACTGCACCAATGTGTCGTGACACTACAAGAAGATGAAGAATTATGTCAGCAAAACAAAAAAAGCATAATAATTATGTTTTAGATTGATCTTGTCAGGAAGTGTGAAGTAAAGAGTTTTCATTACAATCTTATAAGGTGGCTAATGCGTTTACTGCTCGGCAAAGGGATCTTATAAGGTTAACATATGTAGAGAGAGTATATACCTGGTCATAGAGGTGGCCGACAAGTTTAAGATGTTTTTCTCCACCTTCACAGAAAACCACACCATTTCGTTGCTGGGCCATAAGTAGACACAGTGGCAGGGCCAGCTCATGGTCAAGCAGTACATCCTTCAGACGCTGTGATGACTTCTTAGTGTTCCTGATCTGGCCAAAGTAGCCACCCTGTTGACAGAGGCACATCCACAGTGACATGGACCTGAGCTCAGGTGCAGGCCTGCCAGGTAATCATTCAAATCCTGCATCAGTCAGTGATAACTGGAGGTCTATATTACCTCAGCTTTGAGTTGCTCTCCTCCTGTCATGGCCTCTAACTGCTCGGATGTCATCTCATCTGTGATCTCAATGCCAGCCATTTTCTGCACCACCTCTTTGAGGATCAACAGGTCAAAACTGCAGAGAGAGGAGGGACATATAAACCAAAAGATAGATCCTGACACAGTGTATATTATTTTTCAAAATCTTCCCATTTGCAAATAATATGCCTGCCCAAACAAATGAGTGTATCATAATAATGTATTAAGACCAATTCTGCAGGATACTGTGTAGTCACTCTCTTCATGTTGCTCCTTAGGCTGTATTTTTATTTGACAGTCCACAGATAACCAACCAAGTGATAATGAGGAATGAAGATGTGGTGGTGCTTGACCTCAGCAAATCCGGCAAACTATCCTGTTCCTCCTGCATCGTTTGGGTCAACATACCTCTTCCCTGCTTTGAGCTGATTGGTGACATACTGAAGAAGGCCAGCCAACTCAATTGGGTATTTTCGGAACACAGACCCGCAGAGACTTGCCAAGCCTTTTGCGACAAGCAGAACAGACGTATGTCAAATGGTTTCTCTTTTTGCATGCAAATGACTGATGTGATAGCTGTATGGTAGCATGGCAGTTAAACTGTGAAGCCACATACTCTGAAGCCAGGAAGAGATGGTGGTGTCGTCATGCTTCATCTTCTCCTTCTCGGGATTGGCCAGAGCCTCAATGATGCAATCTGGCGACAGAGTTAAGTGGAAAAGAAAACATGGAAGAAGGGGGGGGAAAAAGGCCACTTCATCTGTTTACACCCCACTGCCTCCAGCAACATACTCCTCACACACACACACGCAACCTCTCTTGTTAGATGACTGAATAGAAAGAGGATACAGGCCAAGACATCATAGTTGAGCGATGTGAGGTACTTCAAGGAGTCCACCACTGGAACAATGAGGTTGTCGTACCATTGGATCTGAGACAGCATCTGGCATACAAAAGGACATAGGAGGGGATAAGACTTTACACCTATAGAGGACACAGATCATGCTCGACGCTTCTCTACCACAACAAGCCACCTTTATGACTTTAATCATTCCTATGGTGTATGAGTATCCACAGATCATGGGAGAATCACCAGTTACATAAGGGGGCATGATACTTGGCTCCTGCATAAATTGTCTCTGCTGTTGTTCACATTTGATGTGAGGAGGAGGAAGAATAATAATGTTAAAACTAGATAGGCTAAGAGTACAACCTCCACCAAGTGCAATTCAGTTTCCCCATAATGTCATAAAAGCAATTCCCATGATAGTTTGACCCTCGTATACAATTGCTTGACCAGGAAAACCTAATGCTGGCATTTGGAATGATGCAGATATCTTTATTAGTTAGAAACATATTCAAATTTTGTTTTATTTGTAGGCTACAGCACCAATTCACAACAACAATGGCACAGTAAGGTTTACACTTCACAGTATTATAGGGAAAACCCAACAAATCCACCTCGAGCAAGCATTCAAGAAAAACGACAGACATGACAAACATTCACTCGTTGGTTTAGGGGTAAAACGGGGTCTTCAGCGAGTGGACTGTGGACAAAGTGGTAAAGACATCACATTTCTGCAAATCTGTGTTCTGCTTGTTCAACAGCTGGTTGATAAACTGCTCATATAGTTTCTGTTACTGGAGGAGCGCAGCCCCTCAGGACCGACAAAGAAAAATACAGTGAGGCACAGTAGGACGGTCTGTGTCAACTCATGAGGTTATGCCGGGTGGCGGTAAAGGGAAGCATGCGGTGTACGGCTCATTAGGTTCTGACAGTGGAAACACAGCTATAATATGCAGCTACAACACTGGTGTTCTCGCTGACAGTCGCTGAACGAGCTATCTTGGTCAGATAACCACTCACATCTCTGAAAATGTCAGAACAAATTCTAAATTGGCATCACTGTCATAGACTGACCTCATATTCTCAATCTAAGTGGTTACTTTTTCACCTGGGAAAAAAAAAGTCCAAACTTAATAAAATGGCATAATACCAGCCCTACAGATGAAAATGATAACAGCTTTGAGCCTAGCTCCAAATCTCTGCCATCAGGTTCTTGCCCAGCTGTCGCTGCATAGAGTAGGTCCTTCCCCAGCTGCGGGCTGTCGCCTCGCTGGGCTCCGTCATTCGCCATCTCACACAGCAGGGTGTACTGAGTGGTAGCACTCGGTTTCCATTGCTAACGAATGGACAGCTGTCACTAACCCAGGGATTCGTTTCCGGATGTGCTTGACATACAGTCAAACAGCCTTTCCAGAACTCACAATGGTGAAGAATTTTTAAAAATATTCCTGTATCCAAATCTGATACATTACCTCTCCAAAATATTTCACCCAAATCCATTCATTACTTCTTCAGTTATACTGTTAACAAAACAAACGAACACCAGCAAAAAATAAGCCCCACCAGTGGCGGAGGTGATGACTACACATGCAAGAGACTGTGAACTTCACTGCATATTGAGTATTACACCAAAGTGTACCAAGTGACTGTTTCTGTCAGTGCAGCAGGAACAGAATCCTAATTTTGTGAGCTTTTACCAACACCAACTAGCTTTTACTTTAATTCATGATTTGTAAGAACAGGCTAGGTGTAAGCAATTCCCAGAGCACACACACATTAACGAGGGCACGGGTGTGCCAGAAAAATATAATTGGTCTACAGAGTGAGCAAGGTGCTACATGTTGTAGAACATTGTTTATTTCTCCTGCAAAAATGCAGAATTCATTTATTTTGGTATTTTGTTGACTTTATTCAAAATGAGGCTGAAGTAAATTAAAATAATCACAGCAAAATACACTCACATAATCAAAGAGGATAGTGGGATTGCTATGGCTCAGCTTGCCAATCTGCCTTCCAGACTGTTTCACATTCTCTTTGGTCAACCGCCTAGGGAGGTGAAAAGCACAAGACAGAAAACAGCAGATTAAAAACAAGACGATGTAAAGAGTGCTCTAAGCAAAGACAGCAAATGGAAATTGCTCTTAAGATAAAAGCAGTGCCCATCGCTTCCTTCAACAGCATAACAGTCTTGGGACAATTACTTGCTTAACACACACATACAAAACAGTAGTGAAGTCTGATTTCCTTGTGGTGTCCGTGTTAAAATGTGCTTTCAACACAGCTCAACTTGAGAGCGTATAAAAACAAAATATTAATGCAGCTCTGCTTGTTTTTACTACGAAATTTAGTCTGTTCTACTGAGTGATGTCAGTTTTATATACATATACTTAATTTTCTGAAAAAGGGCTCCCTGCACATAAAGGTTATTTGCCTTGGCATTTTAAGTCATATACAAAAGCAGCAGGAAAAAAAAACATCACACACTAACAGTCTAATAGTCTTGGACATTTTATGGACAACTCCTGTAAGCAGGGTGAAATAACTGAATCGAGTGCTTGAACACAACATACAACACAGATCAGTATGACAGTAAAACAAAAGTCTGAGAGAAGGTGGATAATTGTACCAAAAAAATCACTTGGTGACTGAGAAAATACATATAGACACTCCATTCATTCAAGGTTCACATTATCTTGCCACATTCTGCAGAACAGGACTGAATTAGCTGTGAAAATCAACACATAAATAACTGCACAAACAATGTGAAACATGCAACCCACAGTACAAGGACAGTGACTTGATTATTTGTATTGGAAACACAACAACGGTGACCCAAGAACAGATCACTGCATAGTTATGGTACATAGGGTTCTGTAAACTGACTTACTTCATGATGTATCTGGCCCTTTCCACAGTCTGAGCTTTGACTTTAACCAACAGTGGATGGCTAGAGTATGTCTCGGGGGGGGGGAGGGACAGAGAAAACAAAAAAAAACTATTAAAACCAAATGCTTAGCTATACAGCACTCAAACACACTGACAGGATCAAAGCACGCCACCTCCTGTCTAATATTATGTTAAACTGCTGTCATATGTGTAACTGTTTTCCAGATAACAGCAGGGTAAATTTCAACCTCATGTACTTTTAGCCATCCAGTAAAAATGGGACTGTTCCTTAACAGTTAACTCTTGAAAAATCAGATAACTAAGTACTTTTCTGTGTGATAGCAAAGAATGTCAAGGAATATATAATAAAATGAACCTTCTGGAGTATCAAGTGTCACTACTCATTTGTGATGTGCCAAAATATCCAAACTAAACCTCTAAAAAAAATAATAATAATTGCATTGCTTTGGAGTAGAAAAGATGGTTTGCTAAACTGCACAGAAAAAAATGCATTTTACACAAAGCATGGTTTAACATTTTGAGGTAGAGTGAGTGTACGTTACTCTTTCTTTGACAGCTAGTAAACACCATCAAGGAGCACTGCCTGAGGATTTACTATATGACAACTCAATTACACAGTGCTAGGATGTAGTGAGTGAGTATGTGTGTATACTTCACCTGTGCTGGTAGGGAAAAAGCTTGAAGAGCCCCCACAGTTCCTCAGACATGCAAGCATTACACTCCATCAGGGAGAGAGAAGGGAGTAGCACCTGGTCTGCAATGCTCAGGAAACAACTCAACAGTGTTTCCTACATGAACATACAATCAACATGAAGAAAATCCTTTCTGTAACATGTACAAAGATGAACTGGCAGATCCATAAAAGCAAACGGTGAAAACCATGTTTTATTCTTTTAAAATATTAATCTACACCGCCATCGTACCAAAGACAGGTATATTTTAACACTTACCATTTTGTCTTTGACATCAGTTCTCCCTTCACTTTGGTACTGAGAAGCAAAAGAACACAAAAAAGTGCAAGTTAAAGTAATATTTAGGTTGTAGTGCAAACTTAAGTAATGTGGTGGTTACAGTTTTATACCTCTTTCATGAAGGCCTTGCCCAGTCGCACAATTTTGGCAAAGAGGATAGGGTCATGAGAGAGGTGAGGGCCCAGGTAGCAGAGCATACTGAACGTGTCCCTCCGCAGGTCTTCAAAGCTCTCTGCAGGCCGAGGGGCCCGCGTGTTCCTCAGAGGGCGCATTATACATCCCCTTGCCCCTTTAGGCACACCAGCCCTGTAGGGGACCAGACCAGTGTGTCAGAGCCTGCAAATTTTTTTTTGTTGTTTTGCTTATTTATTTTTAACTTGACAGATAAAATGCTGGCACAGAGAAGAGGGAAAACTGTGGAATTGTGGAAAAATTAGGACCTTCTGTAAAGAGGCTCCACAGTCAGGTGCAGAAGCTGGCAGAGTGCCAGTGCAATAGTCTTGTGAGAAGTAGCATAGAAGGAAGGCATCTGGTCCATAATACTCTGGGCATGGGGCCAGTCTCCAATTCTAAGCAGCGCTTCCAACAGACCAAGTTTCTGGTTATCAGGCGGCTGTGGGCAGAGGAAGAAGAAAAGCCAAAGTTCAGTAACACTCAGTGAAGCCACTGGAGCAAAGCAGTGGCCAAACACTGGGCAAAACTGCTGTTACACTCCAAAGTGACAGATCTGTAAAACTATTAAACATGTGTCTGTATCGCATGTTAAAAACTGAAAACAAATAAGAATGTCGTATCAGACCGCCAGGACAGAAAAATGTAAATGTAACTTCACAGGCCACTGACTTTGTGGGTAATCTTTAATAAATTAACTGTAGTGGCATCCAGATGTTTTGTGTTTTAATGTAATGACTTTACATGTATGTGATTCAAAGACGGCTTTAAAAAGTGAACAGTTTTGTGCTGTTTCTGTTCAACATGCAACCTACAAGCACATGAAGTCAAAACCTATCCTTTCAAATACCTTCTCATTTTTCTCCTCCTCCTTCTCTTTGTCCTTTTCTTTATCATCACTTTTCTCTGAGGACAACACAACCATCACCAGCTTGCGAGCAATCTGCTTGGCCTCTGAGATGTCTCGTTTGTGTTCCTCTGTGATGACGTTATCTAGTGGCATAAGCTGAAATGACAGTGAGGAAAGAAAGGAGTCAAGTCTTAAGTCTAGGAACAGAGGATTTGCGTTAACATAGGGGATATAATAGTACATTCTGCATTTGAAACAGAAGTTTTATATTGTAATAAGGTTAATTGAATTTGTCACATAAATCACCAGGATTTCAGTCACTAGTTTTAGGTTGGCAAAACCTACGTCCACAAATTCTGAATGATCTGCTAAGAAAGTCCTTATGTAAAGTGATCCCTTTTACTAATGTGACAATTAACTGGAATCAAGTGGTTCCTTTTCCTTACATGCACATAGAGATCTTCCAGCTCTATCAGGTTGTGATGAAGCAGAGCAGCAGCAATGTGGTAAAGAGACTTGGGGGTTTCCTCATTGGGCTCCTGAAGAAAGACAAGAAAATAAAGAAATAATCATAAAAAAATATAAGTGACAAATTAAATATAGTTCATGCTATAAATCTTCGGATTATAGTTTGAGATTGTATACACAGACTGCTTTCTAACATTTAAATATATCTGGCAATGATCTTGCTAAAAACTGAAGCTCTAACAAACTCAAAACCTACTAGGAACCATTTCAAAATATACAAGCAATCAATGATATTTACATGAAGTGTCTGGAGAGAGGGAGGTCTGGGCATCTTTGTTTAGACTGCTGCCCCCGCGACCCGGCCCCGGATAAGCGGAAGAAAATGGATGGATGGATGGACTACCTTAATTTACCCAAATTTGATGTTTTCACCTGGTAGAATTTGAACTTGAATCCCAGGATGTGGCAAAGCGTGAGTGGTTCACACATGTAGGACTCGATGAGAGACAGGAAGAACTCATCTTGGTCAGATCGACTCTCATACACCTCCAGGATTATGTCCAAGACGCGATTAGGGTCTAAGTTGAAGCATCCTACAGAATAAAAATATACTAATTAGGCAGCAGAACACAGGTAGGGAGGGCTGTATTTACAGAACGCCTTCCAGGACAGAATCACAATAGGTTTCAAAAGAAAAAAACAATAGTACATTTGACACCAGAATATACAGTAGAAGGGCAGAATAAACCGATAATGAAAGACTTGTCCACACAGGTGAGTCAGTTAATAGGTTGTAGCACATAGGGACAGACTTTCTGTGAGGTTCAGTGTTGTAGAAAATCTACATACAATACAACCACAACGATAAATTATGGATCACATTCACATTGTGTTTATGTAACAGAAGTAATTTGTTCAGTCATTGTTGTATTATATTAACACTGTGTCTCACTCTCTGTAGACTAATTGTATGTGTGTTCTCATCTAATATAATGAAGTGCCTTGTTATTCCTGTGGATGCATGCCAAATGTTACAAGTTGATCTTGGATAAAACTGAAGCAGCCTGTTTCCCACAGGATGAAGGAGACTGACTCAAGGACAAAGATTATGCAGTGTGTGAAGGTTTCTTTTATTATTATGACTGCCCTTCCTCTGAGGAAGTGCAGTAAACAGAGAATGATGAATCATGCCAATTATGTGTAAAAACAAAAGACAGTAGCTGCACATGGAGATTGTCCTGAGAATGACTGTGAGCTTTCAGATAAAGGCAGATAAGCACAAATTATATAAATATAGGGGGGACTGAAGCAATGAGACACACTTAGTAGGGAACTTTCTCACTATCATGTGTCTTGCTTAAGCAATAAAGTGATCAATGCTGCTAAGACTGGTTGGTCTGAATCATCTGGCTTTTGATATGGCAGAAAACAGCCAGTACATACAGTTACCTGGCAAAGCCATGTGTAAATAGCAGCATAAACAGAAGCAACGATGAATCGAACAAGTGACCAAATGATGAAGACCAAATTAGGTGTGGTGGAGGTTGTGCCAGATGTTTTGGTGAAAATCCAGGTGACAAAACCCCTTCTGTTAATTCCTCAGAACAATCTTCTCAATTATGGTAAAAAAATATAAGAACAAGCCACAGAGATTCAGCGAGACTGTAGGTGTAATGAACGAGTGCAGCTAAAGACACAGTGGCATCATGCTCAATGCAGTGACCCTGAAAAAATGCAGTCTGGTACCTATGAGGGACTTGATGCTCTCCAGGACAAGGCGGCTGGTGATGTTGCCTGACAGGTCTTGGCCAAGCTCGGTGATTAGTTTGGCATAGCCCTCATTCTCCTCCCTTAGCAAGTTAAATTTCTGTTGCTTGTAGCTGAGAAGAAAGAAAGGAATTCACAAATATTCGATATTATACTGTATATATGTATATACATTATGGAGCGCAATGAGTAGGCCCCATCCACTGAAATACAAGTTTTCCATCTATGTATTGTCTGTCTTAGCTAAATGGTCCACTCACAATAGTTTAGTCTTGATTTTTACAATCTTCTGATTGAACTGATGGGCTTGTTTTATAAGTCCAAGAGATTCAAGAGTTTCTGGATCCAGCCTCTCTTTCAGGATGGCCTCAGGAACAAAAAACTGAAATTAAAAAGAGTGAATGATTTTTAGTAGTTTATTACAGAACTCAAATTCTTACATACCAACTACACCATGTCATTGTCAGGACAACTACAAATTATGAGTATTTTTGTATAAACCTAAGTCATACAAGCTTTAGTATTTTGAGGACACATGCCTCTCAGCTTTTGCATGCTATTCTAGCCTGATTGTGTGTGTGTGTGTGTGTGTGTGTGTATGTGTGTAAGAATAGCCTTTTCTGTCAGCTATATAACATAATTTAATAAAGAAATGTTTTTCTTACCAAACATGCTCCTACCAGTTGTGTGTAATGGTCACGTTTATTTTTGTCTTCCAGTGCACCAGTCTCTAAATCTATGAAATATATCATTAAAAAGACATTATCACAGATATGCCAAGTTTTTAACCACCAAAAGCTATTATACTATTAAAGTAACCTTTAGACCAGTTTAAAAAAAAAGAGAGAAGCCAAACTCACCTAGTACACTGAAAACATCAGCTAAAATTGATGTCATGTCTTCTCTGAGTTCCTGGGAAGGGGATAAATAAGTATGTAAGTAAGTAAGTTGGTATGTTGTTAGCATATTTGTGGCATAAAGCAGTGAGCCTGTCTGAACATTAAAATGTGTTTGAGGCGAATAGGCTGCCAGGACCAAACCCATCATGGCCAGAAAAAAAGGTACTGCATATTCTGTGTAGATACCTTGAAATAATGGAATTTGTAAATGTACAGCACAGACACTGCTATATGTTTAGTATGGTTTAACCCTCAAGTAATAATATTTAAATAAAGCAATTATACCATCGTGTCTGCAAGGACACTAACGACAAGATCCGACTTCAGGTTCCCCTGGACAACTTGCCAGCAGATCTCGTAAAAGGCGGCCTGTATATCTACAGGGGTAAACAGACAAGCCCACATTCTCTAAAACTGAACTGACAGAGGAAAAAAAAATGAAATATGAAAATATCTAAAATGGACTGGGTTAAACATTCACCCGCTTCAAGAAAGTATTTAATTGAGCTATTATTAGCAAAAATGAAAGCAATGAATCTAAGTAGACAAGTCTGTGACAGCTCTGAAATGGATGCTGCAGTTCTTTTCCTTTCCTCTTTGCTAGTATTGCTACAGATTCTGAATTATACCAAGTTACTATCATGACATGCAGAGAACAGATGTGCATTCTGAGGAACCACTATCATATAAATGGATAATTATCATTAATGCCATCTAAAACATGCTTACTTTTCATGCATGACTAGGTTTTGACACTTGTTAAAATATTTTAGTTTACCAGAAGATAATGATACTGAATCAAATACACTGGTGTTACTGGACTATCTGCAAGTCACAGCTTGACTGAGTGCTGTTATATTATAGTGATGTGCAGAGTTACTATATTTTGAGAAGCTATAGAAAGAAAAATGCATTGTTTGTTAAAGGAAACTAAAATGTCCAGGCAGAGCCCACTTGTAGGGTGATCTGGGGCATTTATCCCTGCAATTTAAGAGGACATTGTTAACAAGTGATTTATTCAAAATACTGGGTGTTTCGTTATGGTGATGAATGCTTTGACATTCGCCATTGACCAAGACACTGACATACTGTGCATGAATTAGAGCCTCCCTCTTTAACAGATATGTAAAATATCAACAGATATAAATGAAATAAAACCAATTACCTGTGCACCACTTTGCTGATTCCTGACAACTTTATATCATTACAGCCATAAAAATAACCTTCTGAATGACACTGCAACATGTGTTTATGTCCTTTTCTTACACGGATGATTGGTTCACTCTATCACTGCTCCCAAAATGGATGTTTAACTTACCCCGGATCTCACATCCATGATCTTTCTTCTGTGCAAGTTCTTTGCAAAGTTGTACACTACAAAGCAATAAGAAAGAAATCTAGTCAGTCAAACTATTGCAACATGACAATTAACATATTTACAGATTAACCTAAAATAGCACTGACAAAGGCAGACTGATCACACAATTTGGGTCAACTGCGTGCTGGAAGAGTCTCTGTGTCACTTGATTAAACCAGACAACGATTCTAGATGCACTTGCAAGAACTTCTGCACATGCAACACTCAGACATTCTCAGCAACACCCAACTGACCATTTTCACCACTTCAAGAGAAAGTTAAAGCCCTGAGTCAACTTTACACTCTAGACTTTGACAGGGACACGCCAGCAATCAAATATGAATGCATCATTTAATTGCATACTGGTTTTGTCTTAATAGAAATATTTTATGAGTTGCTATCAGCAATTTTCCCCATCTTTCCTAAGTTCCGCCAACTGCATTGACAAGCTTTATGAGCAGGACTGTAAATGTAACTAGTAGTTTAGTAGAAGAGTTGGGGCATCTCACTGCAGGCCTTTACTTAACATACAAGGCCCGCAAGCACTAATAGTATTGGATGAGCAGAGCTCAAGTAAACGAGTGAAACTCGAGTTCAAGAAACGTTTTCCCTCTCATCAAGGATCAAACTTGTAAAACTGGTAATAGTACCCCCAGGATTGATTTACGAATGTCCTTAGGATGAGATTCTATGCCGCCGCCCAGATTAATACATAAGACATTTCGTTAAGTATTAAAGCGTAGTGTTGTGCCACAAATTAACCACCGTGACCATCTGCGTAGCGGTTAACTGACGGGTTGCCCACATATCTAGCTTAAGTTAACATTAGCTAACAATGTAGCGTTGGCTTTAGCTGTACATTAACGAAGCGATTTCAGTGTCATTGTCTGGAAAATTTGGTTTATTTGTCAAAATGAACCATTATTGAGCAAGATTAAGTGTCACTGTTATTCTGAATGCTGCCCTGCCCAACATTAGGCAACAAATATTAACCAAGCCAGTCGACATCTCAGATACCACAGCTAACATACTATAAGCTGACGCTGTGTCGGGTGTAAAGACCCCTCATTTTCCTCCACTTCAATAAACGACAGCTACTATTACTCTTAATGGAGCACAATGCTGGCAAAAAACGTTTTTAGTCAACCGCTGATTAAATTGTTGGCAGTTACTGTTGGCTGATTATCCAAAGCTTAGTAATAGGTTCAACTGAAATTAACGATATCAAAGCAGCCCAAGAGTGAGGTAGCTACATAGATGCTAAATGCCTTAGCTTTGAGAGCCATCGTGTTTACGAATGAACGAAAGCTCCAATGGGGGTGTAAGATAGCCAAATGAATAGCATGCAGGTAAAGTTAGCCAGATAAATATGAGTAACGCATCCACGCTATAAAAAAAACATGAGTCACATATGTTTCCTGTCAAATGCGACATGCACGATCTGTTTTTCTTCACATAGAGCCGGTAGTTAACGGCTGTAGGCCACACGAACTATTTTTAGCTTGCTAACGTTAGCTTACCGCTTGTTAGCATTAGCAAACACTTGAAAAATTGTAGGTCTTGCTAGCTACGCTTTTTAAATCTGTTATCAGCCAACAACTGTTAAACCATTATAAACCCCAACACCGTGTTGAACTCCAGATCTACTCACAACTCGTGTTTTCCTGATTTTTCCCAGTTTTTGATCCATTCAACAGGGAGGATAAGTGTCGCCATCTTCCATACACTCAGTCCGGATGTGTAGTTGATCATTGTACACACAGAGTCAAATGTGGTGGCTAGCTACTGCTAGCTCACTGTTGCATGGTGGGACTGGCTCTGAAGCTTTGTTAACACAGACCATAGACTTTGCGGTCCTTCGCATTCCATGAGTATAGTGTATCTTCTGACTATACCCACGTATTATCTTAACTACCATTAAACAGTACATTTTAAAGTACCACTTTCTTTTGTCTTTGAGACGATTGCTTGAACTTTTGTAGAGCCATGGTTTCCAAAAATCCCCACTGCACAAAGGATTCAATTACACTACTCATACTGCTTACTTGTTTAATTTGTGCTACTACTACAGTTATGAAAATATAAAAATGTATGAAACATAAGTAAATCTTAGCTCGATAAAATATTCTCAGACACACAGACTAAAATGAAGACAGTACATTTCAGTACATTCCTCAAACTTTCAATCATATGTCTGGAAGTTTACTGGCAACCATATTCTTAAAATCATCATTGCACAATTGCAGAGGGTTTATTATGATCATGTTGAATCTCCAGAGACAAATAGGGATCTTAAAGGATGCAGTGGGGCACTTTGTAAATAGAATAAAAACACAAATTTAATATACACAAATATTTAAATATGCGTAAACATACAGATGTATGCACATTTTCAGCAGTTCAATGCAAGACAGAAAAGATCCAAAATGAATGATTAATGTAAATTTACAGGCAATTCTAAGATGTATTTTTCTCATTTGCCTAACATGTATAGTTAGTATAAATATAACCGTTAAAAGATCATGTGTCCTGTCTCTCCAGTGAGATTCCGAGGAACTTAGGGAGTTTTTTTCTCACTACAATATGAAAGCACATTTTTCCATAAAATCTCAATCTGCCAATCTGGCCAATACACAGAGGTGAGGAAATATCGCAACAATCCATTGAAAGACTAACAAAACAATATACTGTATTGTACTTGCAAATTAGTCGGTTAACTTCAAATAGTTATGTTCTATTTCTTTAACCTTTCCCTAAAATTTCAAGAAACTGCAAATATAAAATAAGCACCAATTCACAATATATTACACATTTGTAACTGTATAATATACAATTCTGATACTATAATAGCTGACTAAAGAATTCTAAAACTTTGTCATTTAGAATAATTCTGTAACTCTTATACACACAAATAAATTGGCTTTTTGAAAAAAAAGTCCTCAGCACACTTGCAAACTGTAAAAAAAAGAAAGAAAAAAAAAAGCAAAAACAAACAATACACCTTTTTCAACCATATATCAAATCCTTTCTTTTAAAACTCACATTTATGGCATGTATGTGTTATTAGATATTAATAGATATTATACTGTGAAGAAAAATAGTCGATATAGGAGTGATTACATGTTTAAGGTTGAGTCAAAATTTTATATACGACAGTGAATGCTCCCAATATTAAAACTATTAAAATTAAAATTTTAGATGTAGTCATCAATTTGACAAATTAATACATTTGAGAAATGCATTACTTTTTCACCCATTTGTTATAGAGATGAAAAGAAAATACAAACAGCTGGCCATATCTATAGTAACATAATCATTTTCATTAAAAAGGATTATTTCATCATCTATTTGAAGTAACATGATTAGAAACCATTAATTTACATTTGATTGTCATTACAAAATATCTAAAAATCAAAGTCATCTAGAAGGTATAAAAGCGGAACACAAACATTTCTAAAAAATACCACCACAAAGAAATCTGAGAATACCATTTATCATTTGTGGCAAGGCTTTTGAACAGTATGAGACGCTAGTTCACATTATACTTTACTGTGTACATGTTTCAATATATGGCTACATGCCATGCCAAAATCTACAGTTTAAAAGTACAGTCCGTGAACACAACAGAAGTAACACCTTTACAAGGTAATGCAGTCCCGTCCAATAGCCCTGCAATAAATGCTGCCTTTATGAAGCTTATGCTCAGTTTCTATTTGGATTGTGTCAGAGAGGATGGTTTAAGCCTATGTGCAGGAAAGTTTTCACATATGACTGTAAAATTAACATCTGTGTAACAAAGCGTAGTGTAATTAGAGTGTTCAACAACAACTGAATGCTACAAACATCATTTTGGCAGTATTATTTTGCAGGGCCATTATATTACTATACTATCTGTCGGTTTAAATTGTGTTCACCCCTTCTGTATCTTGGCCACTATGTATTTACATCAGACAATGTTTGTCTACTGAATAAAAAAAGATTAAAGGTATATATTATTCATTTTAAACTCAGTCTGTTTTTGTCCCGTCACCATGAAACTGCCACATCTGTACTGGCACTTACAGTATATTAGCTCAAACAGCTTTACACACTGACAACATCAGGTCCAGCTTAGTGAACACTAACATTACTAGTTCATTTTTAGGGCAAATGAACAAAGAAAGAAATGTTTCTTCTGTCTGTGGCAAAAGTCTGGTGTGTGAAAAGAGCAGAATAAAATTCAAATTCAAGCTCTCCCTCTGAATTTTAACAAAGTGTTGAAGAGGCAAACTGGTGTCTCACAGACATTCATAGTAGTCCATTTTGATTTTCACAGACAAATAGGCAGTCATCTTATCTTCCAAGGATTCTGATGACACATTGTCCTTGATGCATCCATTTCATACTAGAACATTGAAACATTGAGAACCTAAAAACATACAAAAAGTAATTTATTAATCCATAATCTTAAAAAAAACATCCCCCCCCCCCCAAAAAATGTTTTTGAACACTTTTAAGTCAATATCACCTGTAACTTTTATTTTGTGAGAAAAATGTAAATTGGGACTAAAATAGTATAGTGCTTTTGGAATTACCTGATTTTCTACATTAACTGCTCATAAGATGTGAGTTTATCTTCATTCAAGTTGCAAGTATAGACAAACATAATGTGCTCAAGCAAACCACAAACAATAATTTTTCCTGTCTTTACTGAATTAAACGTTCACAGTTCTGGTGAAAAAAGTAAGTGAACCCTTGGATTTAATAGTTGGTCAAACCTATTTTGGCATCAATAACCTGGAATAAGAGCTTCCAGTAGCTGCAGATCAGACCTGCAGGAGGAATTTTGGACCAGGAATTTGGAACTGCATCAGCTCAGAGATATTGTTAAGATGTCTGCTGTGAACAGCTCTCCTGAGGTCATTCCACAGCACCTCTGCTGCATTATGGTCTGGCCTCTGACTGAGCTACTGCAAAAGCGAGATTTTTATATGTAGAAGATTCACTTCGATGTTTAGTGTCATTGTCCTGCTTATACTGAGCTTCAGCTGGTGGACAGCCATCCTGACATTATCCTGTAACTTGATAAACTTGGGAATTGATTTTGTCCTCAAAGGCAAACTGCCCAGGCCCAGAGGCAGCAAATCAGAATGCTCTCTTCCACTGCATTTCATGACTGGGGCTATGTTTTCATGTTGGCATGCCCCTTTTTCCACCATATGCTATATGTTCTTTTCCAACAATTCAATGTGTTTCACCAGCTTACAAAACTTTCTCCCAGGAGTGTTGTGGAGATTCAAGGTGCTCTTTCCGTTCTGAGAGCGGCAGTGTTTTCATCTTACCTTGGACACCATACTCCATGCAATCATGCACCATGATTTGAGTATAACAGAATCATAAACACAGATGTTAACCAGCTGCAGTAATTCCTTTAAGCCTTTAGCTGTTACTCTGGGCTTTTTTATGTCACCGAGTGCTCTGTGTGGTGCCTCTGGAGTCATTTTAGATGTGAGCTACAAATGTTTCACCGGCGCCTTTCAAGCCTACACAGGAGGTGAATATATGATACTCAAAAACCAGACTTTTAGTGGTGTATTCCTGTAACTTATTATACATATCTTACTGCCAAAAGGGGCTTAGAATTATCCTTAGTGAGCCATGCACCTGACAGAGTTACTTCCACATTACAGGACAAAAAAAACTGAGCAACCACTGCCAACCAAAATAATAATAATATCCTTACCGAATCATCCATGATGGAAGATGGATCAAAGTAGTCCGGCTTTAGTTCAGTTCTTTCTCTGCGATTCTTCGATGCCGGCTGAAAAGGAACAGCTCGATTAGAACAACGCGCCACAAATTGTGATGACAATATGAGACAAAAACAGCTAGGTGAACCTCAGAATTTGAAAACAGTGTATCCACCTGTGTCAATAAAATACTGACAGTTACACTGAAATGCAAAATCTAATATTTGTCACAACAGAGAAACTACTTTATTTGGAATAAAAGTCTGTTCATGAACAGGCACTGTCTGTTGGAATTTGTGGTGCACAGAATAAAGATTAACATTTACTTAAATTACCAAATCTATGTCCATTGTATCAAAATCCATGCCCTCATTGATGTCCTCTGATGACATCATCACATCCTCCACTATTGGCTCCTCATCATCCTCCATCAGCCCAGAGCCTCGACGACTGTGGAGTACACATAAGACATTTATTACAAAATCAGACTTTTTCATAGATTTCTGTCTATTGGATGGATGTTATTAAAAATACCCATATTCTTCCACAATTCCGACCTATTAATTGTACTCTGAGGACTGCCATCTTACATTGCATGCTGCATGTGGTTCCTCATCTTCGCATAGTGCATGCTAACTCGTTCTTGCTGCTGATGAGCCTCAGCTTGTTGCCTCTGTGTCAACATCCAAGTAACCTGGGTACTGTGGGACAGTTTTCAGTATTTAACAAGACTTCATAATCAATCAAACTGTTAGATTGTTTTAAAAGTAATAATACAATATTGTATACATCAGGAAATGTCCAAATATTAATTTCAACGTAAGGTACAGACATGTGGAAAGGTTTTCATACTTGTAATCAATGGCAGCTTGGTGGTGATTAAGTGACTGCTGCTGGGGAGGCACAGGCTGATGGGGATGCTGCTCTGTTGGCATAGAGTATGCAGCAGTGTAGCTGTCCTCTGGCCTCATCTTCTTTGGATCTCTCAGTACAGTGGAGGTTAAGTGTGGCGAATGCATCATCACTGGCGTCTGCACGTTCTGCTCACGGTTCATCCAGACTGCATCACTACTGCTGCAACTGTTCTCTTCTGCAAGAGAAAATTAACTTCTTAAACTTTTTGCCTTTTACTCAAAGCATGTAGTGACCATAATAATGTGTGCATTGTTTAGTTTATTATTAAAAGGGCAGGTGATTATCAAGTGTTTGCAGAGAAAATTCCTAGGGCAATCAATGCCCTCTACCAACTGACGTAGCATTAAGGTGTGAATGTCTGATGGTTGAAAGGCCAAAAACACCCCAGCATTTCCAACTTTATGACTGTGTATTTTCCAACTACAAAGACGCCTTTAGCAACTTCAGTGGCAAATTGGTAAAATTAATTATTTAAATAAAGAGAACAAACAGGCTTATCATCCATTGTAAGTAGTTATCCATTTCTCCAGTACATTAATTTGATCTTTCTCTAGCCAAGTATAATAATGTTGAAATTGCTCACCTTCAGGCAATTTCCGTTTGCTAGCAGTTGCTGGCTTGGACTTCTTACTCCTGATGGTGGACCCTCGACTGCTGATCCCACTGATGACAGACATGGTGTCATCATCCCCTCCAGCCTGCAGGGAGTTCCTGTACGAGATGAGAGGAAGCCAGCAGTCCTCTCTCTGCAGGGCCATCTGAAACGTCATGAATCGCTCCAGGTACATGTGACTGTAGAAGTCAGAATGACAGGGGTTAGCACCTTTTTAGAGTTCCTTGTCAGCTTCATGCTACAAACCAACAAATCTCTTCACATCTTGCGCCTCAAACTTACACTGTTCTCTTATCCTGTCGAATTAGTTTGCTGGAAAACTCGCTCAGGATATCCAAAAATGCTAGATTAAGTGGTGGACTCCCCTCTCCTTGAGGACTAGGTTCCTTAAAAGCAAACTCAATTCCATCCCTAAATAAATACATTGGAAAGTAATGAATGAACAGCTTTACTTAAAACAAAGCCATCTGTAAGAGCTGAGTTGCATAAAAACCACATGATCTTGGATCAGGACTGTTACTTACTTATGTAACATGGCAATAGCCTCCCTGGTCTTTAACTGATCCAAGCCAAAAGTTAATGAGAAGCGTCGGGCGAGCTCCTTTATGCCACAGAAGGCTGATGAAGAACGGTCGAAATTGAAGCCAAGTTCAGACAACATCTCATTGAATAACTACAGGAGAAAAACAACAAGATAAAACTAAACATGCACACCACATTTTTCACAGGTGGTTTTACACCCGAGAAGTCTAAATCCTAGACTAATTACATTTATGGTCTATAGCATTTTAACTCATCTGCAGCCTAAGACCACCATCTTCCTCTGTTTACATGGCAACGTGGAGCAACCTTTGGCAGATACCTCATAGACTAAACAGAAATTAAACAAGGCAAAAAGATGCCTTTTTACAAATTTTTGAGTCGCCACTAAGAATCTTACCTTTTGTAGGCTCAGTATGAGTGTCTTTGCACACTGTATTTTGTCGATTTGTCTCGTCTTGCTCATCGTTTCCTTGATGATATCTCCATAATCATTGTAATACTAAGGACAAGGAGAAAGAATACTGTCAACAACAACAACAACAACAACAGGGCTTAAGGAATCCTCTATAATCACTAAAAAGGGTTTAAGCCTACCCTCATATACTGTTTAAATATATCTGCTCCAGTGTTCATTTCCACAACATTGTAAATGATTAATTTGCAATAGGCAGCAAGAAGGTTTCTTCGCTTGTGCAGAGCCTCGATTTTACTGGCTTCATCATCTTGTTGTCCATCTGAAAAATACAAAATAGTAGAAATACCAAAAAAGAAATCTTCAGTCTATGTCTTCGATTTTAAAATTTAACTGTAGTGGATCAACACAAGACCATTAACTGACTCTGACCTGTGCTGTTGCTGTCATCATCTTGATCAATGAACACTTGATCCAGGATGAAGTTGAGCAGCTCGGCCTGCAAAGAAGAGTCTGGAGTATAGACCAGAGGCTCCAGTTGTTCCCGGCCTGAAGACATGATTTGGTGACTGAAGATCAATAGAAGATCACACAGTATGGTGAAGGCCTGGAATAAACACAACACCTCAGCATTTATGACAACTCTGACCAACCAAATTTTCAGCTGCAGTGAAGAAAGGAGATGTTGAGAAGTCAGGAATAAAAGAACTTTCACCCCACCTGCTCTTTGACTGCAGTGTTGATGGTGTTCAGGTAACGCTGACACATCAAACAGAAAGCTCTCATTTGCTTTCCCAGTGTCACCATATCACCCTAAAAGTTGAAAATGTTCAGTTAATAATACCTAAGTTTTTTCAAAGTAACAAGTTAGGATTATCCAAGTACTGATAGATATGGATTTAAAAATGAAACTTCAGATGTTCAAAACATGAGCTAAAACAAAGTAACAGCCTCAGTCAGTATCATAGTTTAAAACCATACTTGATAGAAACTTAAGATGGGATTGTGCTTCTTATTGACAACTTTGGCAGCCATTCAGTGTAGAAATCACTCAACCACTCTCAAAATAATAGCTTTTTCGACAATTTGTAAGTATGACAAAACAAAAAAAATCTGTAAACTCTTTAAACCTATACCAGCTATAGAGGAAATACTACCTAATATAATCTATACAATCTTAATCATTAACCTCTTTACAGAATTTTAATATGACTGATAGTATGACTGGAAAAAGTGACAGTTAAAGTGAAAGAATGACTCAGATCTGAAACTGGTAAGCTGATGACAGTGGCTGGTTGCTATCTTGCCCATTAGAAGATAGCAATAACCTATTTGACAATTTATGTTTGCATTGATTTTTTTTTTCATTTAACTGGCATTCTATTTTCAACAGAATGTTTACACATTTTGTCATCACACAGCTGTACATCTTGCTGCATCATGCTAAGTAACCCCAAATTTTTCCAGATCAATGATGTGTAAATACCTTTAATGAAGTGCCTTCTGAAACCTTTGCCAGATGCCACAGGATGATATAATGTGTGCACTGCATTGCGTGAATCACAATCTAGGGGGAAAAAAACAAGTATAGTCAGTTAGATTTTCCACTGTTTGATATTACTGACAAGACACTACTCCACTACTGCTCTGGTACCTGTTCAGGCATATCCCCGTTCTGTAAACCTGTGCTGAGTAGCCTATAGTTGCTGGTGAAGACATCCCACTTGGAGAGGTCATGTGCACTGGAGGCAGAAAGAAGATGCAAATGAAAATACAACAAAAACCATTTACTTCAGTGACAAAACAAGATGACTAGCAAAGCTGTTGTCAACAAGTAACAATCTACTGAAATCATGCTTTACTTGTGGAAAGCGCTGATCTTCTTGAGTGTAGACAGAACCTGGTAAGCATCATCCTCATCTGGTTCTTCACCCTGACAAACAAAGAGATCCAAGTCATAAAATCCTGGACATTCACCCCTGCCTCCACACATGGCAACATGCTTTCAAATAGGCCATGCACATAAGCATTTTACAGCGCCCACCTCTTGCAGGAAGTCCTCCAGGAGTCGATTGAACTTGTCTACAAGCTCATCGAGAAGCTGGGAGCGAGTGATGTCCACGCGGTTGAAGATGGTGAACTCCTCATTGCAGAGATAGTGGTAGGTGGTAGAGCAGGCCTCTAGGACCTCAGTGTCTGTGTGCTTGTCCACAACCTCCCAAATTTGTCTCAACAAGGCATCCAAATGCTTAATGAGAATATGAAAGCACATGATGTTATTCCACTGGCACTGCATGCAATTTACAAGTTGCATATTTCAGCTTTGATGTGAACACTCACAAACCTTTTCTAATCGGCCAGTTGTGTAGATGTCAAGATCAAAGTACTTTGGTATTTGCAGCAAATTTGTCACCTTGTCAATATCAACACAGTACTGAAACAACAAATAAGAAAACAATTTGTTTGAATAGTTAGGAATCAAACCTGTTGCCCAAATATACAAGTCAACTTGGACAGCTGTTGGCTGTGTACAACACAAGTATTTACCTTGGCCAGTAACAGAGGCAATGCGACTGCAAACATCTCTGTGATCCGTGTCCGATCATCCAGCTGGGTTTTCTTCTCCTTTGCAGTCAGGACCTTGTCCATGCATTAAAACCCAACCATGTGAACAACATGAAATAATTCAAGAAACAAAGTTGATTTGTTTTATGTTGGGCATGAGGACCAGACTCACCCTCTTCCCTGTGCCCCTGCCTACTGGAGGGTGGCATTCACAAGCCTGCCGAATGGCACAGAGCATAATCTCAACCAGAGCCGTCTCCTGGCGATCAGTCAGGGCTAAAAATCGCAGATTCAAAAAATTTTTCACAATTTAATGGTGACACTTTGTGTTGATGAGTGAAGTTCTGATCAAAGATAGTAGAAAAAAAATAAAATGACACCTTTGGTCAATATTTCCATTTCCTAATTATGAGGCTAAAATATGTCAGCTAGTAATTGTTTGAGAGAGCAGTCCCTTACCCTCCTCTCCTGGCATGGGCTCATCCAGCAGCAGGCTGATCATAGTCTCCCAGTCCTTCAGCAGCTCTGACGCACACTCCCACAAGCTGTCCACCAAGTAGGCTCCGTGTTCATGGAGCTGCAAAACACAAAATGGTTTCATGTTATTGAATCAAATTAAATTACACCAAAACAGTGAAAGGAAGAATCCTGGCAGAGTGATTTAATTTAATAAATCAAGTGAGAAGTGACACAAGAAGCGAGCCTGGTTACCTCACTCTCCAAGAAGAAGAAGACTGTAGTCTTGATAAGGCTGCCATTGAGGCTCTGCCTGCCCCTCCTGGGCAATCCCTCCTCCTCAGGACCTCGATGGCTGAACAGTCTTTAATCAACACAACAGAAAAGGCTGTTAAAATGCATGGTGAAGGCAAGTGGAATAAAAGCTTGCAATCCCTTTGGCAAAGCTACAGATGAGACAAATATGGGGTGTCACACACATCAAGTTAAATATGGTACATTACACAGGTATTTTGCTATGAGGATACATTATTTAGATTCTCATACCCTTGATGGGTATTAGTTGTTTGCTTATTGCATCTGTCTGCATATTTCTTGTTCCTACTTGAATCTGTTTCACAATTAATTTGGCTGGAACACCAATAAATTACTTTGCACTTTGGTTTTTGCAATAAAACAGGGTCATGGCTGCACTCCACAACAACTCATGTCATTCCAAGCTGACTAGAAAGAAACCACCTACCATGCCTATAGAGGTTGAGTGGAGTGGAGTAGAGGTGGCATAAATATCTTATATTCTTATTCCTCATTCATAAGTGTTAAACCTGCAACAAAACACTTACTTTTTAAAAAGAAATTCTCCCGCTGAAACTGCAATGGGTCGATGTGCTGAGTAAACCAGATGATATACACTCTCACAGTCCTCTGCGGTCAGAACCTCATCACTACTCCTGAAGGGTGAAATACATAAATTCTTAGTGATAAGGCCAGTTTAATGAATTTGTAATTGACAAAGATGAACTGGAGTTAGGTAAAAATGTGAAGTGTAATTTCTTACAAAATCTCTCAGGATCAGGGAAAAAATATCACTATAAAATGTATGAAAATATGGTCATGCCCTGCTGTAAGCAAAAACGATGACATCTGTGAAACCTATAGGACAGGGGTCATGTTTAATATGTATCAAAACATAATAAATTGTAGTGAGATTTGGTATGTCTGTCATATTTAGGACCACATAATATGGCTTCATAAAACAAGATCAAATGCAGAATGAAGTCATTCAAGAAGAGGGGAGGTTACTTACTGTAAGACAAGTGTCAGAAGTTTAATGGCCTGCACTGCAACATCATATTCCTTATCCAGAGTCATAGACACAATGCGGTCCTGCCAATGAGAGTGAGTTCATGTCTCCGATACAGTATCTTAACTAGGGGCTCTCCATTACATTAGTTGATATATCATGCATTGGTATCATAAAATCAAAATGTCATTACTGATGTTATCTCCATAAAAAGAGGGACATTGTAAAATCCTGTATTTTCAATGATTCATGAAGCGATGCAGGTGCTTGCTCACCTTGAAACGACTTGTGAAGAGCTCCAGTCGAGCACTGAGCTCTCTGTTGAAGTAGAGACCCTGCAGAGCAGTTAGGCACTTCAGCCGCACCTCACCTTGCTGGAGTCACAGTAGAGATACATACAATATTTACTCTTAATTGAATTTATTATTTACAATTAACTGAATACCAAAACACGTGTTGCTTTGCCTTTACCCCATTTAACCATGTTTCTTAATATACATCCCTATAAACAAAATATGACATACTGTATGTTCTGTTCTTTTTTCCCCATCTGTCACAGGCAAAACAACTGATCACTTAGCATCAGTGGTACCAAAGATGACCAATGTCTTTTACTGTGCTGCTGCTCCCATAATAACTTTCAAGAACCAATTATGATCCACCCAAGTCTCAAACAGGTAATAAGCAGCTAGTCCAAGATCAGAAGAAAGCCATGCAATGACAAGTCACCCATCAAATTAGGAATTATGTGCGCATGTATTTGTTCACCTTGTCGTGCATTGTCCAGCCGACATACTTCAGGTAACTGTCATTGAGGAAAGCGTCACTGTACAGCTTCATCCACACTCCAATCTCCTCAATACAAATTGCCCGGATTTCAGCAATGGCATCACTGGCAAAAAAAGAGAATTCGTTAAATTTAGTCATTAGGCCTCTAATATGTCCTAGTGTAAACAGAAATGTAAGGTCTCAAGGATTTATATTTGTGTTGACACTCTTGACACTAGAGGGTGCCATAAATGAACAACTCAATCTCAAAACTCAAGATGATTAGAGGAGCTTCAGTAAAAACTCACCATCAACATACAATGTATCAGTCATTCAAGATTTTACATACCGATATCTGTGGACAAACACTCCTTTGAATATTGCGTTCATCATGTTTTCAATCTCATCTTGATTTTCTTGAAGCTGAAAGACAAAAACACAAAGTGATGCAGTTTAAATAATCTGCACGACACTAACCAGAACAATTTTTCCCCTTTACATAATACGACATTCAAGAGTGCAGAGCTCTGTCAAGCAATTTTGTAAAACAGAGGTTTGCTGGTGATGATTGTCAGCCATGGGTGAACATGCTTTTTGTACACTAGCAAGTATTTACAGCAGCAGGACAGTGTTTGTGGAACTGACTCAAAATAAAATAGTGTGTCCATTTTCATTGTGATGAAGAAATGCATCCATTAGTGTTGTTAATAACTTCATGTCTGTAGAATAAGCACACACAATTCTTAAAGGTTCATCAACTAAGATTTTACACATTGTCTGACAAACCAAGTGAAAATGAAACAGGATGTGGTGTCTCCCAGCTATCCTAAACCCCTCTGTGCCTGTGCTCTGCGTCCTCCTTGAGCAGCCAACCACGGAGGGCCTGTCATCGGCTATGGTAAAGTCTCAAACCGAAGAGGTTGCATTCTTTTGCACAGACAGACTGGGACAATGGAGGAGCAAAGACTAGGGTAACATCAGCTTGACTTTTTGAGATGGAGAGTCTAAAAAAACAACCAAAGCACTCAGATGTGGGCTTCTTCCTTCTTAGTATCTAAAGCTAATGTGTGTGTTTTGGTAACATTAACAATCTAGCATGGACAGAATTTTACCACTCTATTGAATTAACATGATTTTAAATGGGGAGTAATTCAAGCTTTGTGTAACGTTAGAGCTTTGTGTCACAGTAGCAGCAACCACAGGCTTCTACTGGATTGCCAAATTTACCATGTCGGTCAGATAACGCTAGCTTCAGTCTGGAGGTTGCATTTTGTACAGTCTGTCGCAACCATCCTAGAGTGGTTTATGGTGTGAGTTTGTTGTCAGAAAATGATGTGACATGAAGTCAGATGCTCAATGTTGTTTTTCAAAGCACTCCTGGACCAATATGAGAAGTAGTCAAGGAGACAAGATAGTCATGAGATCTGCTGATGTTACACTGTTGGTGCAACAGAAAGTGATACTGAACAGAGACCTGCAAAAAGACCCTGATGGGGTTGCCCCAAACTGCTGTACCAAAATAACTGAAGCTCTAAAAGAAAAGAATCTCACTATATTAGACCATCACAATGGTTATAATTCTGCATTATGTTTTTTTAGTTATTTTATCTAGTTAATTTCAGTATCCTGTTTAAACTCAAGGGTAAAATGGCAAATGTTTTTGACCCATGGAGAACAGCAGAGTATCTGTACATGACTTGTACAACAGGTCTGGACGACTCAAGATTTTTGTTCCCGCCTAAGAGAAAATTCATGTGCGAATGCCACAGAGTCTCTTATATCACTCACATGTGCCACCTGCATTAACATCAGTTGCATAGAGCCCTTTGTTAAAGGATTTTGAGTGATAGTCAAAGTGCAGTTGCAAGTATTAGACAGCTTATTTTTCTTCTCACCTCTTTACGCTTCTGTAACAGAAGTTCTAATCGGTCATTGGCCCTTTTTGCAATAACCTTGTTCCTCTCTGCCTCATACTGTCTCTGTGTGTTGTCCATATTGATGCTCAGGTTCAAAGCAACATTCACCAAGGCTGTCATCAACTTCATGGCTGGCAAAAAAACAAAGTTCAGATACTGAAGGAGTACTTGCTTCAGGACAATAACAGCATAACAGTGCAAACAGCAGCAGAAATGCAGAATACAGAAATGCACATTAAAACTGACCTGCTAGTGTGCTTGTATGTCTAAATGCCCTGACCTGTGAGTCAGACAGGCCGGTGAGCAGTGAGATGACTGTGTCCATCATATACTCATCATAGATTATGCTATACTGACACTGTCGCACCAGAACCGCAATGAAGTCACAGAAGCTTATCCTGAATTTCTTCCACTGTGGTCCTGAGAGAGTTAATGGGTAGTCACCACTGTCCTGTTTGATGAGAGCACAGACGTGATCAGGATTCAGGTCAGGATTATTACACTTGTTTCATACTGTAAATTTCCCTTTATGTCTGCCAGATTAAAAACATCCAATTTCTCTATTATTTTAAAATTATTTATGTAAATGAATGTAAAAATACAGCCCAAATCACCTCATCAAACTCCTCTGTCATTTTTCGGATGATCTCAGAGTTCTGCATGTGCTTGAACATCTCTCCACTCACAGCACCTATGTGGAAAAAAAAAACCCACAAAATGATAGCAAAGCTAAACAAGCTATTTTGCTTTCAGATGCCCAGCATGCAACACAATTATGTGTCAGATACTTACCTTTACAGCCAGAGCACTGAATGAAGAAGTTGATTAAGTCCAAGAGAGCAACATCCCGGTCATGTTTGTATGCCTCAATCCAGTCATCAACAACAGACTAGAAGATAAAAAAAATGACTATACCAGTTTACAACATAATTATAAATACAATGTTAGAAAACAAAAAACATCACTGTATGCTCGAGACAATGATGTCCCAGTACCACTGCTAAAAGACAAACCCACCAGTCAAAAATATTTTCAGAACTACAAAGCAATGAAAAAAGAAGAGAGAAGAGATGAAACTACAAAACAAGAAGTAATTGGCGTGCACTCACCTGTGTGGCGCTCTTCCCCATTTTAACCACCTCGAACAGGGTCATATTCTCCATCCCATTCTCCTGATGATGGCCGTTCACCCAGCCAACACCTGGGACCCTCCCTACTCCCCCACCTTTGGCCTTGTCTGCAAGCGCCTTCTTCCCTTTCTTGGCTGCCTGTTGGGAAAAAGATGTTAAAGAGAAGAGTAGTGTTATTTTGTTATCATAAATCTGAGCATGCACATTAAATATGCATATAGCCCAAATACCTTATCTGTTTACCAGGAATTTCAAATCAGTCACCTGAGGAACTAAATCACGTCACAGACATTAGCAGACATCATTCTGCTTCTACTCTGTGTCAGTCCCATAGACTATATATAAAATGATGGATGATGTGGATGTCGCTCTCTTTATATACAGTCAATGGTCAATCCTGTGATGTGCTAGGACCCAGTCTCGGGTGTTCTCATTGCCTTCTATGCAGTGCATGTTGAGATTATGGGCAGGCATAGAAAATAAATAAATAAAGATATAAGTTTTGAAAAACATACTGTGCTCCTTCCGGTCCTCGCATTTTTTCCATCAGGATCCTCAAAGTCAGTATCTGAAGACAACTGAGATTCTGCCTCTCTGTGAACAACACAAAGTCATCAAAACTACGAAACAGACTTTAAAAAATACAAAAGAAACATTCAATGACATCTTTAATTTGACAACGCATTTCTGTGATGCACTGCTTACTGAGGAAACTGAAACTCTGTTTGCAAATCCTGCGCTGCTATCATTTCTTTAACATTTTCTGGATCTGCTGAAGTGTGTGCTTCTGCGGCCCTGGACCCCAAGCAAGAAGGTATGTCTTCAGCTCCACCTGGTAACAAAACACATCAGAGGAGTTTGTTGATAAACTACTACAATGCCACTGATGGCAACAACTCACGAGCAAATCGCTGTACATCTAGGGCTCCGTGTCATAACCCCATCTTATCTATTCAAGAAGAAATGAAGAGAACATATTTAATTTTATTGTCCAAAAGAACACATCAGGTCCTAACATGCATCATATGCCATGATGATGAGGACCAAACAAAGACATGATGGTTGATAAAAGCTTCAGTAACTATGGCAACAAGCGATCGGTATCCATCATGTCTACCCACAATAGAAAGGTGATATTGTGTAATATTAAACCTCTTAACTCATATACAATGTGAACTAAGCAACAAAAGCAGGTTGTTGTCTCGAGGCAACGCTGGATATTTTGACCATTTGTCAGGCTGTTAACTGACAGAATAATATGCTGAGCTGATGAAAAAATGTGTTTAGTATACAAGTTGAACCCTGCACTTTCCATGCATGCATGGGCCTAGTAAACACAGACAACCCATTTTTCCCTGGCCTAACTTAAGTGAGTCTTTAAGTGTGTTTAATCAAGCAGAAACTTGGGAACTCCAGTCTGTGAAGTTGTGTGAAGGGGTCTGGTTTGTCTCTGAGGAGGGATTGCACATATTTCTGCTGGTAGGGCCAGGAGTGAAAAGTCATGGGAAGTAATTTGGAGGTCGTATAGGTCGACATTTGCTGAAATTTTACTTGTATGCAAATACAAACATATTATTATTTATATATTATATTATATTATATTAACATTGTATCTACCTGAATCTTGACATAATGACATTATCATTTTGTAGAATGTTACGACAACTAAACATTTATTTACTTTCCGATTAGACTAGTTATGTTATCGCTAACTTAAGGTTATAGCTGATGTTTTACGAAAAGAGAGATCTGAGTAAACGGGTAATCCCTGACTCCATAATCCACTGTAAATATGGTTGTTCTTATTGTGACCAGACGTGGGCTTGACTTCTCAGTCCTAACACCATAAATGGGAAGCACATTGGGTCCTTGCGCCGCAATACAACGTTAGTTACTTTCTTGGACAAGTAATGTTGTATTCTAGTATTTATGGCAGGTCTTCGTAATAGTAAATTCCAACATTAGTTTAGAACAAGTTGATCCCGAAATAATTCTGACAGGCGCAGTTGTATACTTCCGAACTACAAACACAAGCACAGATGTTTCCGAAGCCGATTATTCCTATCCACTCATCTCTTCCTGACGTGCCGTCTTTGCTACGACGGCCCAGCAGCTCTCTGCTAATACAATCTCGCTGGCACTGGATATTAGCCGAGTCACTGTGTAGCGACCTTTACACAGTATCATTGATTACTTTATTTGTGCCGACATACGATGTTCGGATTGGGAGTCACTTTAAGAGTTTTGATATGTTTACAGGATCGCATTAGGTTAGCTAGTTAGTTGCTACCTTGGCTAGTATTACCGTTAGCTGTAGCTAGCTGGCTAACGACACCACTACTTAGCATCAGATTGAATGTCTCACTTATTAATCGCGTAGTTATATTTGAAATTGTTATGATAGAATTATATTTCGATATTAATGCCTCATGTTAGCAGTAATATAAAATGTAACGCTAGTTTTTCAGTAAGAGTAACGTTGTAGCAGCATCAATGACAAACTCCCTGATGTTAGCTGTATCCGCCATTTTACAACTTACCTCGTTTTAAATCAAAGACGGACAGAAACCAAATAATCCAAACGTTGCAGACCTGACAAGGAGGATGCTATCATTAATTCCCTGCATAAACTGCCATTTTCCAAATATAAATAATAATACGTTTATTTGCTAGCTAACGTTAAGAAGCTCGTTGGTGGCTAACATAGCAAGGTACAGTTTGTATTTCGTTGTTATGAACGCAGCACCCACGCCACCTTTCGGCGGCACCGTAAACTGCTGCTAAGAGGGGCCATATCCTGCCATGGCTCTCAAGCTTCTCACTTCTCCAACACGTCTGAATCACTGCTTCTCTGGCAGTCATCATACACAACATTTGAGAAATGAACGCACAGCGTGTAGACCGCAAGATTATTGAGCCACTTTGAAAATATCATGTTCGAGCTAAAATACTCGCGTCTAAAATTCATCTGTATGTCCACATGAGTGCAAAGGTACAATGACTGCCTAGATCATAGATGTGTTTTTACATTCACTGAAATATAATTTCAGTATACATTCTACCACACTGAAGAAAACATTACTACCTCAAATTGACATTTGGAATTGGCTAACTAATAACCAGATTTTCCTTAACCCACATATGGCACCCCCGCTCATTTGGCTGGTGGTGACTTATTTGGTTTATAGGCTGACTACATAAAAACAACAAAACATACAATAATCCATGCAACTGTTGCTATTATACATTATAATGTGCAAAATATTAGTTATTCTTTTCTACTGTTTCAAGGTGCACTATTACCTTATTTTTGTGTATTGCGGCTTTAATGCTTTGTTGCCTTTATGTAACTTTTTATTTTAAGACTAAGTTAATTACTAAGTGCGATGTTTGAAGGTCACTGGGGAAAATACTATTACCCTATTTTTGTGTGTTGTGGTTTTTAATACTTTGTTGCCTTTATGTAACTTTTTATTTTAAGACTAAGTGTTCTTTCTGGCTTTTGACTCCTTACTTGACCCCAAAGGAGAGCTGCACAAGAATTCCTATATGCCTAGACTGTCTGTTTATGCATACATGGCAAATAAAAATCCAGAAAATCCAAAAAAAGTTACAAGAGTCTAAACTAATGTCAGACCAGTAGCACAAAGAGGTTCTTTATACTACAGGTATGTGCCAAAAAATTAGAATATCGAGGAAAAGTCCATTTATTTCAATAATTTGTTTCAAAAAGTGAAACTTGTATGTTATATTAGTTCACTGCACACAAAGTGAAATATTTCAAGCCTTTATTTGTTTCAATTTTGATGATTATGGATTAAAGACAAAAAAAACCCAAATCCAGTATTTCACAAAATTAGAATATCATGACAAAGTTCAACATTGTAGGCTCCCTGTGTCCCAATCTAGTCAGCTAATTAATGCAAAACACCTGCAAAGGTTTCCTCAGCCTTGAAATTGTCTCAGTCTGGCTTAGTAGGCTTCAGAATCATGGGGAAGACTGCTGACTTGACGGTTGTGCAGACGACCATCATTGACACCCTCCATAAGGAGGAAAAGTCTCAAAAGGCAATTGCAAAAGAAGCTGGATGCTCACAGAACGCAGTATCAAAGTATATTAACAGAGTGTTAAGAAGAAGGGAAGAATGTGGCCGGAAAAGGTGCAAAAGTGACAGGGATGACCGCAGCCTTGAGAGGATTGTCAAGCAAGGGCGATTCAGAAATCTGGGGGAGCTTCATAAGGAGTGGACTGAGGCTGGTGTCAGTGCATCAAGA